ACTAACTTACACGGCTGTCATTGTGGCTAGTCCCCAGAAGACTTGACTCACTCATTATAGTGAGCATGTTACAAAACTTAAATGGTCGAAAATGCTGTGCGCTTGGGCTCATATGAAGACTCGGACGACCTTGCAGCCGCCGGTGCACGGTCCGAAATGGGATTTGATTCGATCGACCCTAATCTCCTCTCAGGTTATCATTTCAGCCACAGGTCACTTGTCCTCATCCTTGACGCCTCAACTCGTCAGTTACTGCCGATAAAACAACAACGTTCTCACTAGTTCGCCATTGTACTCCACAGACGCCAAAGGGTCCGCCGACAATAGCGCCAGACTTTACTCCTGCAGCTGGTGCCTTCTACTCCTTGTGCGACGTTGCGGTGTCATGGCGCGTTGTTTGCCTTCAGCTTCAGTGCTTGCTTTTGTAGAAGCATCAAAGTATCCTGTCATGGACTGTAAGCAAAGTCCAAGCTCGCAAGACCAGGGCATCTGGAGGATAGAAGTTGGAGAGGCTCCTGGCGACAATACCCAGTGCAACGGTCCTGGCGAGGTATCTCTTCGTAGTTCATTAGTCCGTCGATTAACTAGCGAACTGTCCTCAAATCTCATCGAAGTTCAGATTTAGTAATCGGGACCAGATGCTGAGTGTTTCATACTCGGGACGCCATGGCAAGCGATTCAAGCAAGCCCCTCACCATGGCTGTTTCAGGACCAATCTTGCTGGGTTGGCTGAGAAAAACATTGGATTTGACCATGGCGACCGTCTTGTGAGAAGCGTAGGATATGAGCACATTGAAATCCTTGCAGACGATGAGATTCGACTGTCAGGGGACCACTATATGGCATACAAGCGTTCACTCATCCAACAAGCATGAGGGAGGCAATCCCCCAGTCAGACGTCGCAACACATGGCACCGTCTCATGAGGACAGTCCGACGAGACAAGGCCGTCTTCTTGCAACGATGCGCCTGATCCGGCAAACTCACTCTTATCGTGCTCGAAACGCAATCGCATTCACCAAGGAGGCCTGGCGTTAATCTCAACTTGGGACTGGCGTCAGATTTCTGGAAAGCGCTTTAAACCTGCGTCGTTGAGACTTTCAACATCCGCTATAGGCCATCGCCTCGCCATGCACCCGTATAAGTATATCAACTGTTCCAAGGGAAAGACGGAAAGACCCCTTTAGATGTGCACCTACAGCGCTGCCCAGATATCGCACGATTACAACCGCCGGGCGGTTTGCTTCGCAGAAGGCGGCGCCTACTCAGGGTTCATTAAGGATCCTTGTCATCCTTGTCTTTTACTGAGATGATTCGCATTCCTCACGCATGTTTGTACTATGGGGTACTTTGTATGATGATGCACGGCGTTAGTGTGGCTGCAAGAGGGGGTGGGAAGAGTTGATACACGACTTTTCACAGCACCTGCAATGCTGCCAATCTTGAGGGTTCCATTTCACTTGCACGCATTTCGCGTTCTTGCCCTTCTTTGTCGCTCGAATGAGAATCTGCGGTGTAACGGTATACGCGGTGTGTTTGCGAGCATTGGAGGATGTGGAAAATTATGAGACTCCGCAGCAATGCAGTGTTTGGCATCACGAGACGTGGTTACGCGTTTTGTAATGGATGAACACCACGCACGTGCCTGAGATTTTCTGGAAACACAAAGGCGGTGTTCTCAATGACTCGAATTTACATCTTCGACGCTCTGTTTTTGATGGTCAACATGGCGATTATCTCTTCAAGTTGATCGAGGTCACTTATACCGTCGAGGAAGGAACCTCGCTGATAATTTCGAATTCTGACCAGATGCCGCGTTGCATTACTATGTACCAAGGGAAAAAAAGGACCCCATTAGTGCAACCTGTCCAATAGAACTCACCTCCTCGAGGTGACGCTAATACATGGTATAGTATTTCTCAAAAGGACTCACGGCGGATTGTTCCGTATCAAAGTACCGTTGCCGGCCCCTCATGGTCTTCCATGAGCGCCCGTCCCGATGGAAGCTGCCTCCGGTGCAATAAACAGACCTGATGTATCCGCGAAGTGGCCCCAAGGTTCATTTTGCATTGCTCTCTGGCCGGGAGCCCGTATGACTATCTGGTCATTTCGGCCCGTCATACAATGGTGCACATTTTTCGTTGCAGGTGATGGCGAGTCATCCGTTTAGAATGGCGAGCACAAAGGTCGCATTATGGTCTTAAGAGTCGATACAAGTATAAGCTGGCTGTGGTTTGATCGTCTCGTCAAACGAATATTGACAAACTATTCTTCACAGTCCTAAGCTTGCTCAAGCCTTGTTTCCACCCATCACCTGCCCGCGAGCGCACACCAAGAAAGAACTTGCTGATAAATGACATTATTATATATGCATGTATTAGTGTCGCTTCGGCAGCCAAAATATCCTTCGAGCGCCACGGATCAAAGGCAGGCTTCAAAACATTCGTGATGACCTTGCCCTCGAGCCCTCATTGGCAAGATTCTGGCAGAACGTGCCCGGGTTGACGGAAGAGAAGGTCTCAGCGTTTTTGTCGCTCAATGTCCTGAAATAGGTCTCGCCGGATTTGGTCCAAGACAAGGCGTCCGAACACGCAGCACCATATTCTGAGACGCCTAGAACTCATCGATCCGGCACAGCGCGCGCCTGGCACATCTCTTCCAAAGGGGAGAATGAGAATGGCGTAATTTTTGGACCACATTGTTCTCCTGGAAGGCAGTCTTGTCATCGTGACGATTCAAGCGGGAAAATGCCTGCTACATCAGGAAGATGGGCGTGAGCTCGTCACGAGATCGGGCTATCCCTTGTGACCATGTTGGGTAACGAGGGCAGGGCCGGTCTCTGGACGGAGTTGGAACCCGGGATGAGATATCGACTCCTTTTCTCGCAAACCGATCTGGAAGGTCTTGATTGGTCCTTGTCAGGTAAACCACCTCCCGTCCCCCCTTCTTGTTGCCATCGGGTCGTCAATGATGACTAGGTCGCGATTCCGGCCGTCACTTGTACGTATCATCAGCATTTCTAGTCGTGAGACATTACGCCGGGCCTTCGGGAATGGCGAGGACATTCCGCACAGACAGTACACTACTCAAGCGTGAGGTTCACCAAGGAAGCTACACTGACGGCGAGGGGTGAGAGCAGCGTTGTCGTATTCTATTTCGAGTGCCGGCTATATTCTTTGAACGCAAAGGACGCGGACATGCAACGGATGTGATTTTGAGACGCTCACCCGTCAATGGTTGGTCCACGGAGAGACGGTCAAATTGATCTGTGAGAGTTACACAGGAAACCTCGCTGGTTTCGTTCTCCCAGAATGGACGTTGATAAAAAAAGAAGAAAGAACCAGGGATCGTCATGCTGACACCATGGTCTGCATAGCGTTGCATCTCTGAGGGAGACGTGACCTTGCGGCCCACAGACCAGCAAATCATGAGTCTGGCCGCATGGCACTCGAGTAGATAGAGTAGGCACTTGACACCCGGCCACCACGACGAGTATGCATGGCCGCAGGTTCAAAGCCCGCACTTTTGCCTCACCGTTCGAGGGGAGGAAACGGCGTCATGTCACCGAGACGGCAGACTAGTACGGATCTCACAAGGCTGGCCTTGGACTGCCCGCTATGGCTGATTCGCCGTTCATGGTGCGGCCTGTGTCGTGCACGGACGGCACCGTGACCGGCGCCGCGGTTCAACTCTCTCTTTGTCCATTTTTATCCCGCCGCAACATGACTCTGCCTGCCACTCTGCCTTTGTCCAAACCAGTCCTTTGGCCTGTCGTGTCTGCCGTAAAGTGGGGTGGATCAAGATGAAATCCATGGCTTGGCTGCAGCTTCATCGTACAGGCATCTCTTTGATCCGGCCCGGCCAAAGCATCGAAGGCAGCGTACCATCTGATGCGCCGTATCCTGATGTTGCCAAGACAGAAAAATGGAGTGGTTCCGGCAAAGAGGTCACCTGGCCACCAACATCCATGGATGCCCAGCCGCCTGCTAACCCCGAGCCCTGGGTTCGAAGGGTATGAGTGCCTCTATCGCAGTACCAGAGACCCTGGGTTCCTTTCTTCCTCCCCCCTTTTCTTTCTTTTTGGATTTCTCGCCTTGGGTCCGATTCTTTGACCACCCCGGTCGTGCAGCTAAGACATGCACGCGAGCTTCTTGGCGGCATAGCAGTCGAGACTACTTTCCTTTTGCTGTGGTGACTCATTCCCAAGTTCCGACCTGTCCGCGCGGCCGGGCTTCAGAATGACGATCTTTTTATGCATTTCCGGTCTGTCCATGGTCATGAGTTTCGGTATCGAGCGACGCTCCGCTAGGCGCATTCCAGGTATGCCCGTCGTGTGTCTTGGCTGTTGTTTCATGACCTGGGTATTGAAACAAGTTTGTAGGGGTTGTACTTGATCGTGTTGCGAAAACAGATTTCCTGGGTAATGACGGACGGATGTGTTGATATGCTTCAGGACATGCATGATTCATGCCTGTGTCGGCATTCGAAAAGTAAAGGTAAGTAGATGCAGAAGTAGAGCCCCGACACACCAATGTTACATTACCAGAATTTGATGTCTTTCATGGTGGAGATATTATTCTGTAGCGTCATTGCGGATTTGTCCAGATGCAAAGCTGTCCTTTCAACATATGGCAAGATATTACTTTGTTGCTCGTCAGGCGAATCAGACGAAAGCGACCGTTTTGGGCTGGAGCACCTTTTCCACCACGTGACTTGAGTCACGTGGGAGGTCAACCCTTTATCGACAGTTTCGTGTGGCCTTTCTATGACCTATATTTATTTCATCCAACTGGTTTTCTGTAAACAAATAATAGGGATCAGACAGAAGCTGGATATGGTATTGAGATCGCGGTTCTGCAACCCTTGAGTTGTGGCAGTTTGTGAAATTTGAAGCATTCTCGTCGCCACACCGTATCGATAAGCAGACGCAACCTCACCTTTGATTCGCTTAGTAAATGAAGGCTTCATAAACTTGCTACACTTTTGAGCATCAACGCCGCCATGACCAGCTTGAAGAGATCTCACGAGGGGGATCCCCTAGCCTCCAACATCTCAACCAAAGTCTATGTCCGCTCAACACGCAGCGGCAAGGTCCAAAAAATCGTGAAGGAAGTCTATCTCAGAACCGACATTCCGTGCTCCTCTATGCTATGTCGAGTTTGCCCAGAGAGAGCTCCCAGAAATGCGTGTCAACAGGGTATGCTAGAGATTCTTCTCCATTGACGCAAACTTCTAATGCCGAGATAGCTCAGCCATTTGTCCTGTCGGAGAAGCCTGCGGGCACCAAGGCCTTCCCCCAAGGGCATTACCTAGTGCCGGACACAAACGCGCTTCTCAATGCCATGGATCTCTTTGAGCAAAGTTCAGCGTTCTACGATGTTATCATCTTGCAAACGGTCTTGGAGGAGCTGAGAAACGGGTCCTTGCCCTTGTATAATCGTTTGATTGGGCTTACCAAAAGCGACGACAAGCGATTTTATGTGTTTTTCAACGATTTCCGGCTGGAGACGTACGTCAAACGGGAGCTGAACGAGAGCATCAACGACAGGAATGACCGTGCGGTCCGTCTGGCCGTCAAATGGTATGGCGAGCACTTGTCCCAGGCCAAGGCCGGCAGGGCTCCTGCTGTCGTCATGCTGAGCGACGACCAAGAGAGCCTCAAGAAGGCACGCAGTGAAGGTCTCAACGCATCTTCATTACGGGATTACGTGGGCAGTCTTGAAGATGGAGACAGGCTTCTCGACATGGTGGCTGAATATCAGAGCCAAGGCGGCTTCAAGAAGCAGTCCCAAATGCTCTACCCCGAGTATCTCAGCCTATCAAAGATGACAACGGGTGTCAAAGCCGGCTTGATGCATCAGGGCATTTTCAACGTCTCGCCGTACAACTACCTCGAGGGCTCCATCAAAGTTCCGTTCTTCTCTAAGCCCCTTCTTATTCTAGGACGTGAGAGTATCAACCGTGCCGTTGACGGAGATGTCGTCGTCGTAGAGCTGCTTCCCCAGGACAAGTGGAAGGCACCGTCTACCAAGATCATCGAGGAGGACAACATCACCAAGAATGAGAATGCTGATACCGAAGATCGAAATGACTTTGTGTCGGACAAGGAACGAAGAGCACTGCAGGAGGAAGCAAGTCGAATACACAAGTCCTCGTCGGAAAGCCAACTGCAGCCTACAGCCAAGGTGGTTGGTGTCATCAGGCGAAACTGGCGTCAATATGTCGGACACATCGACCCGTCTTCGGCCAGTAAGTCCGCGTCGTCTCAGGGCCGCAAACAGGACAGTGTCTTCCTCATCCCCATGGATAAGAAGATCCCCAAGATTCGCCTGCGAACTCGACAGGTATCTGAACTTCTGGGCAAGCGACTCCTGGTGACCATCGACGCATGGGAGCGAGACTCCAGGCATCCGGTTGGTCATTTTGTGCGCTCGCTTGGTGAAATCGAAACCAAGGCCGCCGAAACAGAGGCTCTTCTTCTCGAATGGGATGTTCAATACCGCCCCTTCCCCAAGACCGTCCTGGATTGCCTCCCCAGAGAAGGCCATGACTGGAAAGTACCGGCGTCCATGGATGACCCCGGCTGGAAAGATAGACAGGACCTCCGAGGACTTCTCATCTGCAGTATCGACCCTGTAGGCTGCCAGGATATCGACGACGCCCTGCACGCCCGCAAGCTGCCCAACGGGAACTTTGAAGTTGGCGTCCACATCGCCGACGTGTCACACTTTGTCAAGCCCGCCAACGCCATGGACACAGAAGCCAGCATCCGCGGCACAACCGTCTACCTCGTCGACAAGCGCATCGACATGCTTCCGCCCCTGCTCGGCACGGATCTCTGCTCGCTGAAGCCCTACGTCGAGCGGTACGCCTTTTCCGTCCTCTGGGAGCTCGACGAAAACGCCGACATGGTCAACGTCCGCTTCACCAAGTCCGTCATCAAGTCCCGCGAAGCATTCAGCTACGAACAAGCCCAGCGCCGCATCGACGACGCCTCCCAGCAAGACGACCTCACAAACGGGATGCGCACGCTCCTCGCGCTCTCCAAGAAGCTCAAGGCGAAGCGGATCGAGGCCGGCGCCCTGAGTCTCTCCTCGCCCGAGGTCAAGGTCCAGACGGAGTCGGAAACCTCTGACCCCGTCGACGTCCAGGCCAAGGAGCTCCTCGACACCAACTCCCTCGTCGAGGAGTTCATGCTCTTCGCCAACATCAGCGTCGCCGCCAAAATATACGACGCGTTCCCGCAGACCGCCATCCTTCGCCGCCACGCGGCGCCCCCCAAGACCAACTTCGACGAGCTCGCCAACCAGCTGCGTGTCAAGCGAGGCCTCGAGCTCCGCACAGACACGTCCAGAGCCCTCGCCGACTCGCTCGACGCCTGTGTCGACAAGTCGGACCCCTTCTTCAACACCCTGGTCCGCATCATGGCCACCCGCTGCCTCATGTCGGCCGAGTACTTCTGCTCCGGGACCCAGGCGTACCCCGAGTTCCGGCACTACGGGCTCGCGTCGCACATCTACACGCACTTCACGTCCCCGATCCGCCGCTACGCAGACCTCCTCGCCCACAGACAGCTCGCCGCCGCCATCGGCTACGAAGCCGTGCACCCGTCCGTCCGCAGCAGGGGCCGCCTCGAGGCCGTCTGCAAGAACATCAATGTCCGTCACAGAAACGCCCAGATGGCCGGCCGCGCAAGCACGGCATACTACGTCGCGCAGGCGCTCAAGGGCAACGTCGCCGAGGAGGACGCCTTTGTCATGAAGATCTTCAGCAACGGCTTCGTGGTGCTCGTCCCAAGGTTCGGAATCGAGGGCCTGATCCGACTGCGCGATCTGGCGGATCCCGAGCCCGAGAGCGAGTTTGATGCCGAGACGTACACGCTCGTCACGAGGGGCACCAGGGACTTGAAGGTCGAGCTGTTCCAGAAGGTCAAGGTAAAGGTCACGGATGAGAAGGATGAGAGGACGGGCAAGAGGGGCGTCAAGATGGAATTGGTCAATGCGTAGCAGATATACACGGCCTGCGTATCCTTATCCTGCTGAACCTCGCAAAGTCTTGTGAGTGATGGAACGTAGTTGGCCGTCACCAGAGGCACGTACGTCATGCTTCAACAATCAGCATGCTAATCTGCACGGTGGCTGCGAGTGTTTGTTTTTTCCCTTTTTTCCCCATTAGATGCTTGTCCTCGAAAAACGCCACACGTGAAATCAAACCCAAAATCCGGTTTTGTGCTAGTTCTACTCTTCCATAGCATCCTCCGTGGCCGCAGCACCTTCATCACCCCATAGGCCATCCAACTTGAACTCGGCAGCCCACTCTGTGACAATCTCCTTCTGATCAGGCGTGACTTCGTCTTCTCCCGCATTCTTGACCCTCTTCGCAGTCCCAGCAGAGCCATCAGCCGACCCGACAGCCAAAGCAGGCGGGTCAACCCAGCCCTGAATGCGGCCATCCCGCCAGTCCGTCAGAACCGCCATGGCGGCGGCATTGATGTTGGGAACGCCGCCCCTGCCCAACCGACCTCGCTTCCGAGCAACCTGCACCAAGAAGTCGGTCGTGACATCGCCGTCGAGCCTGTCCGGCAACAGAGCCGGAATGTCATACACACTGGTCATTTTCTGCATCAGGTCCGGCGAGGACGAGAGACGACGGATGAGCAGGCTGACCGCGGGAACGGGGTCGTCAATCTGCTTTGGGGGGACGGCGTTGAGGAGGATGAGATGGGCGTGTGCTTCGGCTGCGCCTTTGAGGCTGACGAGGCCGCCAGACTGGACGGAGGACGAGGACGGGAACACGACGCCGGGGGAGTCGAGCAGCGTCAGCTTGCTGTCGATCTTAACGGTGCGGATGCTGGTGGTGACGCCGGCTTCGGCGCCTGCTGGGCAGGCCTTGCGACAACCACCGCCCTTTCCGCTCATTCTGCTGAGGAGGGCGTTGATGACGGACGACTTGCCGACGTTGGGGTAGCCGATGACTCCGACGGACACGGCGCGCTTGAGTTGCTGGCTCGCGGCGTAGCTTTTGAGTGCTTTGAAGAGTGTCGCGGATGTGCTTTGAACCGTCAGGTCGTGGTGGTTAAAGATGTGGGCGTTGGGAGCGGCGCCAGAGGCACGAAGGGGAAGAGTCGGGAAGTATCGTCGGAGATACGCGAGCCAGTCTCGCAGGACCTGGGGGGGGATCAAATCGATCTTGTTGAGAACCAGAATGAGGCGCTTGCCATCAGCGGCAGCGGCCATGATGCTGCGTTCAACCTCTCGCGATCGAGTGCCCTCGGGATCTCGTGCATCCAACACGTACAAGACTACATCAGCCTGCTCAATGACCTGCTTGAAAACCTTGTCGTACGTCTTGCGCGACGAGGCCTGGCCGACCGAGGCTTGATTCGAACCGCAATCACCAGAGTCATCGCTTTCGTCATCGCTTTCGTCATCGTGGTCCATGCCATCGCTGTCTGCCAACTCTTTATCATACTGCGCCGCCGCAGCCTTCGCGCTGGCGAGCAAAGCAGCCATGGGATTCGACTCATCTACATGCTCGTCCATTGACTCATCTTCCACGTCCGCAACAGAGCCCTCAACATGGTCAGCGTCGTCCATGGCCTCCTCGTCTTCCTGCTGTGCAGCACCAGTCTTGGCAGCCTTTGCCATTTCTCTTTTCTTCTCGGCCTCGGCAGCCTTTCTCAGGCGCTTCTCCTCGATTTCCTGCAGAAGCTTCTCCTTGTATGGAAACAAGTTGGGGATGCCAGGGTCTTTTTTTAACTTGGACCGCCATTCTGGGTTCTTCTTGGCGAGCTTGCGCTGCTTCTTCTGCTTGGCTGCGGAGGCCTTTTCAATCTTGTTTCGCAGACGGGTCGTGCCCCTCTTGGACTTGGGTTCTGTGGCTCGCAGTTAGACTATCGCGATGGTACTTGGCATTGAAATCGATGGGTGCGCGACAACTCACTCTTTGGTTTGTTAATTGTGCCTGCCATGTTGCGCAACACAAACCAAGACCACGGATGAGGCAATGTGTAAGGTTTCGGATCGGGTATGGAAAAAAATTAAGTGGGATGTATAGATTCTGCCGGCTCTTTTTCACTTCACCGCTTTCCTTGGCTGCCAGGGACACACCGTCGCGGAAGGAACGCCACACCCAGCAGGGCGGAGATCAGAACTGAAGCGTGATTGGTGCCTCGTCTTACAGACATGTAGGACCCTTGGAAATTCATTCGACTCCGTCCACAAAGTCTTCCTCTACTCATTGCAAGACGAGACGACCGAGGAGGATTCGTTAGCAGTCGATTGACCTCAGTCGACTCGTCGTTGTGAGAGGTTTGCCCGAAGCCGCCGGATGCCTCGTACATGCTTGCTGTGTCAGCATTGCAGATGGACGGAAATCATCGGCTCGCACAGTCAATTCATAGGTTTCGTATAGTGTCTCCATTTGAATCTTCCCGGACCTGACACAAGTTCAACGCGCCTTCTTCCTTGCCACCTGCTGGAGGAATGCCGCAAGAGGCTGCAATGTCGCGTGGGGAATAGATTGGGATATTGATTGTGATTGCTTCGCCTCAAGAATAATCTCTTCCTACTACTCCAGTTCGCCCCTTGCTATCATGTATCTAGAATAAAGACCCCAACACCAAAACAGTGTCTCCGTAGCTGTAGCCTGTCAACATAATCTGGTTCCTCAGCTTCATCTGTCAATCCTGTATCAGCCGGCAGCGTCCACGGAAAAACAAGTCAACTTCAAAACCACACTTATTCTCGACCGGCCACTGGGAGACGAAAAGAAGCTCAAGTACCCTCCAAACATTCCTCCGTTTGTTCGCCAGGCGAGTGTTGAAGCCGTGGGTGAGCACATGATGAAAGAAAAGTAAACAAGCGCGCGCGCACACGCAGAAAGCTGGTACTGGTAACAAAATGGGCACAGGGAATCAAAGGCAATTTATATGGGAAAGCCCTGAGTCTTGAAGGGGGCATCCGGTACGGCTGTAGGCAGTGTTCAGATTGCTCTCAGCCCATCTAGAGCAGATAAGCCATCAGACCCATGGCAGCAACAAAGACCCCGTTGCCCATAGGGGCCAAGGTAGGGCCGGCAAAGGCCCTGGAGCTGGTAGAAGTCACCTCGGCGCTGCCACCACTCGTCTTAGAAGGCTGGGAAGCACCCGTGGTGGAAGAGGAGCCGTCATCTTTGCCGCTGCTAACAAGGCTCTTGGGAGGGTCGTTCTTGGGGCAGAGAGGCTTGATGTTGTTGTTACAGGCGTCCTGGCCCTGGGCGTTACCAGCGTTGGCGCTGATGCAATCCGACAAAGCGTACTGGCATTTGTAGTATGGCATGGTCTGCGTGTAGTACTCTAGTCCAGGCTCCGAGTGATTGGAGGTGCAAATGCAATCGTACGAAAGATCCGCCTGTGAGAGTCATCAATCAGCCTGCTTGGGTTCCCAAAGACGGCAAGCGGCCCAATTGCGTGAGTCATGGCAAGATACAAAATTACATACCTCTTTGCAATTGTTCTCGGAAGTTTCGCCCCCGCAGAGAGTATTGCAACTGTTTGTCTGGCCCTGGCACCAGGTGGCTGCAGAGTCATGATGTTAGTTACGGGCAGGAAAACAAAACAACGAGGCGCAATCGACGCCACAGGCGCATGGGCCGCATCGCGCAGCCGACTACCGGGTCAATGGCGAGAAGATACTTGCCTCGCACATTCAGCCCGACGGACTGGGGATTAACATTTATGTCCTTGGCGGATTTGAAGGTGTTGTTGGTAGCTTGGCCCTGGACCTGGGCCGAGGCAACAGCTAAGGCTGCGAAGGCGGCAGAGAAGCGCATTGCGATGGTAGAAGCGAGGCGGGAGCCGTCGAGACTTGAAGCCGGCGAGTAATGAAACAAAACAGGTGTGCTGTCAAGGACAAGCAGTGCTACGGATGCGAGTAGAGCTTCAGAAGCTGCGAAGCAGTATGCCTTGGGTTAGCGTATAGCTTGAAGATGCTGGGATGCGATGATTGTGTAGTGGTGAGAAAGGAAGAGAGAGAGGAGAAGGGCAGAGAAGCAGCCGGAGATGCGGGCCACGAGAAATTGACACGAGAAAAAAAAATAATAATTAAAAAATGGGCAGGCCGGCGGCAGGTGCAGGGCGGGCGCAGTGACCAACCACGTGCAGACTCGTCATGAAATCGGTTGACCACACCTCCCTCGCTCGCGCACGCAAGGCGGCGAGGCAAGGCGAGGCGAAGCAAAGCAACATTGAAGGCACGAAGAGGCCATGGCACGTCACGTACGTAGCAAGACACGAGGCAACCGAAGCAAGCAACCCCACTAGGCGGAGGCCAGATTGGAGCTCAGCACTGGCCGGATAAGTTGCTACGGCAAAGAGCCAGGGCAGGCAACGCAACGGGTGCTAATGCTAACATGGAGTAGTGACGGTGACGACTAGACCAAGAATGGACAAGGCAAACTTATGCCATTGGGAGTTGATTGCGTCCACCGGCCGAAATATGGCCTGTCCACCTGCGACTCGACTTCGCTCTTGGATACTCCGTACATGCGACGAATTTACGCCAAGTGAACCTCGGCCAGGTCCCTGGGGGAATTGATTGATTGCATACTCCACACTTGGCCCCTGCCAGCAGCCCCTTGTACGTCACGGGTGGTTGGGAAACAGGGGTAGAACGCATGGGCACGTAGCCAAGTACCTGCCTTAGGTACCTGCCTAGGTAGGTACTTAGCACTTACCTAGGTGAGCACTTGGCAACTACGGAGTAGAGGAGACCTTGAGCCTCAACCGCCTCTTTTTCTTTTTCTTCTTGCTTCCTTCCTCCTCCACCACACCCTTCCTTTCGTCCTTCCTGCTCAGTCACTGAGTCATTGGGCACCCCGCTCCTATCGCTCCTCTCGCCATCGAAAGGCATTCATCACCAACTACTCCCTACTCGGTGCCACAACAAAAACTCGTGGCTACAACTCACGACCGGCGGTTGTGGACGTGGTCCGTCTGGCTGGGGTCAGTTCTCACGCGCCATGTAGTTAGTCTCCGGCGTGCCCAGTCCTAGTCCTGCCTGACAGCCCGTCCACCATGGACCAGCAGACGCAACAAGACGACCTGGGCGGCAGCCACCGTCTGATGAATTGTGTCTGCCGAATACTCCGTACGGAGTACTGAGCATCGAGTGCGGATACTATTGAACATGTTATCAGTGCCGAGTACCGACGTACGCCGACGCTTCGCTTCCTCATGCCATGGTCCCGCACCAGATCGTCTCGCATTCCAGGCACTCTCTACCGAGCACATGGACAGGCAATGTTAGTTAAACGTCACAATTGATGATTACTAGTCGCTTCCAAGTGACGCCATCTCGCGCATCGTGGCAAGCTTGCGTGCGCGTGTCCCGCTGGTATGGCCCAAGCTTCGCCGCCATGGTCGACGTCAATAACCGACTCGTCGACTAGGGATGAATCGTCATGCCGGGGTGTCTCGTCACTCACTCACCGGGCATCGTGGCAGCATCCATGCCTCCTTTATTAGGCCAGTCAACGTGGCGGAGGATCATGGAACATGCATGCCATTCGGCCCCGCAAAGTTGCTAGGGGCTGACCCGCGCGCGAGGTTTCGAGACGGCATACGCCCCATGTTGCCCATCTCTTTCCAACTCGTGCGATTCGCAACGGATACGACGGCACCCAATTGGCTCTCCTGCTTCGACAACAAGTACCGTGATTGACCCTGAGTTACTGACTGCTAGTACTACTAGCAGGCTGAGTTCGAAGAAACCAAGAGAGCCTCAAGCGTAATATCGGTGGCCCACATCAATCGCCTCGAAACCGGCTGGCTCGCTGGACCTTTGGGGGGGGGGGCCCAAACCAAGCAAGTCCGGCGGGAATTTACTCCGTACTGCATATTGGATGTTCAAAGCGCGGCCCATGTCGCCGACTTCCTCGGGCTAGGCGACGTGACGCAAGGGCCGAGGGGACACAACATGACGAGCGCTTGTCGTGGTTGGGTTGCAATGGGTCATCTCCAGAGTGCCATGTTTTCAAGCTCTTGTCGTCCTTGGCCTGGCACCTCGAGACTAGTGTGCGCCGAAAGTAATTATAGTACTAGCTTTCGGCTGAGGTGGCGGTCTCATGAACAGTACTAAGCAGCAGCACCATGCTCGCGCTCGCGCCGGCACCGCCTACATTTCCCATGAACCACGGTACTCTCGACGGTTCGAACCGGCCACCCGGCTAGACCCGTCTCCAAACGGCGCCAATTGAAATTGGGCTTCTTTGGGTGCCTGGGGAAACTTCTCGTTTGTTGTCATGAGTTGCCGCCGACGCGTGATGCACAGCACAGCACAGCATCTTGCCTTCGAGATGACGCGGACAATGCCGTGCGTGGCAGACGGCGCCTTGGGCCTGCAGGCTGCAGCAGCCTGAATCTGGCAGCCAGCCACCCAAGTGACCACTGGTACGCCGAGTATGCCCAGAGGTTGACCCTTGTTTACAACGTTTGCCGTGCAGACTCGCTGCATTCCAAGGGTTGGTCCCGCCACCATCACGGGGTTGGTGACTCTCCATACGGACTCGTGTCTGTCAGTCTACTCGGCCGCCACACGACGGCGTGAATAGGGCCTCTCGGCTCAACGGCAGCTTCTTGTCCAGCCTCGTATCTGCTGTCCCCACCGCATCGGTGCTGCAATGACACCGTCCATGGTCGATCTGATGGGCCCCGTCGGCATGACGGGAAGTTGGTTGCAGCTGTGAATTTTCCTCCGCATTCACGGGTGGCATGGGCCAACAGTAGCAAGCCGGGCCTGTTGCGGTCGGTCGATACGTACATGAATATCAAAAAAGTTGTACGGATATCGCAGAGAGGATTTGATGTGGAACAATGACTTCCAATGTGCAACCCAAGAATTGCCGCATTGCCAAATGGGTTTGACCCTGAAGCTTTTGCTGACTGAGGCGAACAACGACTTCCAAAGCACAGCATCAACATGCTACAGGATACAGATACAGTAACTAGACTGACTTTGCAATTGCATCCTTGCAGCCTGCTTTTCTCCTTCTTCGAATGAATGCACAGCCAGGTATCGGACACAAGGGCAAAAATAGCGCGCCGTGTCGAGGTAAACGAGGAACCGCGCAGCAACTTGCAGCCACGACGCGCTGGAATATGCTCCTGGCCTTCTTTTTCATAGTACCGGCTTGGAATTACGATTCTGCAATCAAGGGCGAAAAGTGCATCAATGGCTTTTCCGATGATTCTGATTTGGTCTGCATGGGATTCTGTCATCGAACCAACGCTTCATGACTGGCGGTTTCTCGTTGGAGGCCGTCCATCACGGATAAGTGATATATTCTCGCAAACTGGTGTCCAGCCTAGGCTTCCTGCAAGGCCAACATCATGAACAGGTAGTCACCACCTACTCAGACGGGTCCATAGACTTCATCACGTCCCTCCCCAGGTCCGCCAAAATACCAACCTGCTTGACCACGGCGTACTCGAAGAACATTCTCGACACCTCAGCTTCTTCTTCTGCCGCCCACCCATTTATCAGCGACAATTCCTTGTCTCGCCCGGGCAGCTTTCCGATATCGGCCAACATGTCTCTGGCCGAAACGCACAAGTCCCAATTCGCCAGCTCCCCAGGGCACATCTTGAGGACCATGATGAGAAGCATCTGGCACAGCGAGACCTGATCCATGTCCAACAACGTCTGCTGGAGCTTCTGATCCAGTCCACCTTTCGCCGCCGGCGCCGCCGCAACCACCGTGTTCTCGGCAGTGTTGGCTAGCAACTTGGCCATCATGAAGAGGTTTTTCAAACGGACCGGATGAAACGGCGCAGCGTAGCGGAACGGGTCACACCATGTCGCAATCAATGCCGCCACAAACAGCGCGTACGGAAAGTTGTCCCTCTCAGCAAAGTAGATTGCCGTCTCGGCGAGGAGTTGCGGAACCGGAGACACAGCCCACAGATTGGCATCGATGAGGGCGCGAGCAAGCTGATATTGTGCCTTGAGAGCGGCATATCGGGCGGGCAGCGAGAGCGGCAGTTGGGCTGGCTCCGCGGTGCATCTCGCCGCGACGTCTTGCGTGTGCTTGTCCGTGACTGCGGCATGCTTGTTGCTAGATACATCTATTACGCTGCACGTGTTTGGGTAAGCCGCGCGGACCTGGTACACGTTCAAGTCGCCTCTGCACCGGGCGCATGCGCATTCGAAGCTGTACTGTTTGAGGGCCTCCCTACGCGCAGACAGGGGCATCGTATAGTCTGCGCGTTGCTGTCAATTTGACGGAACAATAGACCCGAGGAGAAGAATCTGGAACGCACCTGTGTAGGATATTTCAATCTCGTCACCTGCCTCGATCGGCCTCTCGGCCATCAACACTGCCTTGCGGCCTATGAACTGCACCACTGCGTTGGGGATACACGAGTGGTTGGCCATGGCGAGCGTTGGTTCTAAAAACACGCCTACTTGTCCCAGGTCCGCGTCCCATCTGTGAAAGGCATTCGTCTGGATCTGCGCATTGTCAGGTATGCCTGAAAACGAGTGAACACAAGACAACATAACCAAAGGGCGTGGGAACGTGGTATGGTTTTACCTTGCAGAGCAGCTCGACTGCCTTGTGCACATCGCTCTCGCCTTGCTTGCCGGCAAAGGCACACGCCGCCAGGGCCATCATCTCCAAGTCGGACCAGCATTTGCCCTTCCTCCGTTCTGAGCTGTGGCCGTCCAGCGCGGTGACCCCGTCCTCAATCTCCTTCTTGAGGAGGGTTTGGAGGAGCGCTCTGACGGGGGCGGGGAGGTCGGCGCCTCTCCGCGAGCCCAGCTTGTGCTGCTGGAGGGCCTCGCATTCGTAGGAGTGAACGGCGGCCCAGGCGGCTCGCTGGCAGCTGGCGTTGCAATAGTACGCGGCGCGACAGCGGGAGCAGGCGCGCGGCGAGCCGGGACGCAGGCAGTGGGTGCACACGGATGTGAGATGCGAGAGCGATGGGTGTAAGATGAGCGGGTGGAACGTGTGGATTGTCTGCGAGGGTTGAAAGGGCTGCGTGGCGTGGAGCGCGCGGTGTTTGCGAGGATGGAGCCGGGTCTCAATAGATGGCATCTTTCTTCTCCCCTTTCGCGCTGCGCGTGTTGGAGATGGCCTCAGGCTGTTGTTGTTTGATGTGTCGGGGTGAGTTGTCGGGTTGGGGTGTGGATTCGGTGACGTGAAAATCTGGGTTTGTGCAAAGTTGGGGCTGACGTTGGAGTTGGAGCATTCAGAGCACGACACGGAAGGTCTATCCGCCTTCCTCCGCACCGTCGCAAATATGTTTTTTTTCTTTTTTTGCTCAGTCGATGTGATTTTACATGTACACTGTCACAGATCCTCATGCGTCCTCCCATTACTTTGCTCTTTTCTCGCTGCCGCCAATCGTTCGTGCAGCAGCCGGCTCCAGTCCTCCTCACCAGCCTTGCTCAACTTCATGATCCTCGCCACGTGGTAGTCCCAGCATCCCTCGGCCGTCCCATCCTCCTCCGTCTGACACTGCTCATCTGTCAGCTTGGACAGACGGGGCCAGTCGCCCGGAGCGGCGCCCATGCCCTCGTCGAAAAAGGTATCCAGCACAAGCTGCCCGACTCTTTGTTGCGCGCCGGCCCATGCTTCGTCCTCGGGAACAAGCACCTTCAACAGTGACGCCATGCCGCCTCCTCGAAGGAAGTTTGTGCGAACGAAATCGTCTCCAAGGAGCGCCTTGATCGCAGAAACCTTGGACCGCACCCGGGCAGCAGCCTGCTCGGCACCCGCGCCCTCTCCATTGCGCGACGGCTCGACGCTGGAATACAAGCTCAGGCGCAGAGGCTCACCAGTGCCGGGGCACCTGGATTCGGCGAGTAGTCGAGGCCACGCGGCGACGAGCGCCCTGAGAGCGACCGGGTTGTGCTGCACGGCACTGGCCAAGATTTGCGCGGCTTGCCGGTCGCGAGGGACGGCCCCGTCGGCGGTCGCCGGAGCGCTCTGGCCAGACATGAGGCACAGCAGCGACTCGACCGCCTCCGTGTCCTCGGCAATCTTCACGCCGTAGTATATGTCGTGAGCCAGGTCGTCGAGCACCTCGAGGGCATCGTCGAACGCGCGGCCGTCCTCGCCGACTCCGGCCTTGAGCGCCCGCAGTCCCTCTGCGAATTCGGCGGATCCGCTCGGCGGCTCCATTATCTTTCCAAAGGGCTCGTATTTCGGCGCGCCTGGGGGGATTTCGGGACGAGCCTCGGGCTGCGCCTCCGCGTCGACCTCGACGACGTCTTGCCCAACGGGTAGTCCTTCCAGGGAGGCATCAGCCTCGCCGGGCACGTTGACCTTGGCCTCTTTTTGGCCGGTCCAGATGTTTAGGCGGATGTGCAGCCCCGCGGGCAGTTCCTGGTCCTCGTGGACGATTTGAAACTCGTCTGTGGGTTGGAATATCCGCGGGTAACACTCGTCGGGGTTGGAAGTGTGGCAGATGAGGTCTGGCTTTGGCTCATCAGAAGAGTTTGGCTCCTGGGCTGCCGAGGGTGTTGAGAAGATGCAGACGATGAGGGCGACCATCATGGCCACCACCATGGCGGGCAGACGAGTGGGTTTTGAGCGTGGCCCAGCCATCTTCATCTTTGTCTGGTGAAGAGGTTGTCCGAGGCCGAGGTCTCTCTCTCACGGCGCGATGCGGCAGCCTGGCGTGGCCATAGACACTGATCCGATCAGGTAGGGTGTAACTGAGTGTCCGTCGCTGCGGCGTGTTGACAGGAAGATGAGGCGGCATAGGCCAGCCGACTCCGTCGAGCCTTGCGACATGAGTTGAGTCGATTGTGAAAAAGGACACCTACGACGTTGGCGCCACCGGCCAGGCTGTCCACCTTTCTTTCATTGGTCATTGGCCGACAGCCACGTCGACTTTGCTTACCTAAGTAGTCAAGGGGCGCATCGTGCAAGTGGTCAGGCTCAGCTGAGCTGCATACCAACGGGGGGCACAATGGGCTCGAATGTGCGATGTCGTCGCTTCATTCGTACCATGACTAGTTAGTGATTCCATGTCGTCGCTTCATTCGGAGACGGGGCTGGGTGACATGGCGCCATGGCTTTATAAGTCGCCGTGCTCGCGACACCGTCGAATCTGGACGACGTGTCCATCTCGAACCGCCTTATTCGACATATAACGTTACAACTCGCAGCCTCTCTGCTCGATAGGCGTACAAGATGCTCTCGTACACCATCATCCTTCTCATGGCGGCCTTTGTCTGTGGCGTAAGCGCAGCGCCGAGCACCCGGCGCCACTCACATTCGCTTCGACACATTCACTTCAAGCCGCTGGACGGACACGGCGGTCGCGGCCATGTCGAGTCACCGTACGTACATTCACATCCGCCGAAAACAACGCCTGAGGGGGGCAAGAGAGGCGCCCAGGCTACACTTTGACGATGCATTCGCATAGCGAGCCTCGGCCAGGACGGGCGACGAAGCGAGTGTAGGACTCTGGCAGTCGCACTTCTCCCTCCCTTGTCTACAACATGGCTCGCTCCTTGCCGGGAATGGGGAAGAGAGGCGCGGCAAATGTTTGATGACACATGACTGTCGGAAAGGGACGCCGAAAGGATCAGGGGCCAACGTGTGACGATGGATGGGCACGGGAAAGATGGATTTTGAACACGGAGTAGTGTCAGGTGCAGAGGACCTTGGACTCGGGGCTCCCACGAATTATGATTTATACGAAATTGACGGATTGATGAGACACATGACACATGCACCCATTGCAGTGAGCGGGAAGTGACGGTCCGAAGTTTGAAACCCCGACCTTCCGGTGCGCCAATGGGACACGGTGATTGGAACGTTCAATGGCGGCAACCAATGATGTGGCGGGGAGTCGTACGGAGTACCGAGACTGACTTCAATGCCGACCCCAGTCGCCACTGCAAAGGCCCCCTCGGTACGGAGTACAGAGCACACTCGGCCTATTAACTTATTAGTAAGTGGCCGATTGACCGGATTCGACTCCTCATCCCGTACTTCACCCTTTCTGGCCGACGTCAAAAGACTCGACGTCAAATCATATCAATTCCGAACGACGACTTGACAGAGCCGCGACGCAGGGGACGCCCACAGCTGCGCCAAGGCAACCTGCATGCGTGCCCAACCTCGAAAAGACGAGACAAGCTACTAGTAGTCCCGCGCAAACCCGATCGAGCATCCTCCCCCGAATCACACAACACATGCCAGCATGCCTTCCCAACGACGAATACGCCTGCTCGCCCTGGCGGCCATTGTCACCGTCGCCTTCTTTCTCTTCTACTCGTCCCGTGTCGACCCCGGCCCGGACGCGCACAAGATCCAAGACTTTTACCACAAGACCATGGACGGCATGAAGAACGCATCACCGCCGGGGCAAGCCATCATAAACACCAAGACGGGCGAGAAGGCAGGCCACATCCCCGCCGACAAGGACGCCGACGGCGACGTCGACGAGGACGACAGAAAGGCCACCGCCCAGATGCAGCAGCGCCTGAAACAGGCCGAGAAGGACGCCAAAGACAAGGCCAACATGAAGGGTGGCCTGAAGCCCGACGTGCCGAGCGAGATTGTCGGCAAGGGCAACTCGGCCGGTGGCCAGCCCAAGAAGGACGACAGTGCGGCCGCTGACAAGGCCCTGGCCGAGGAACCAGCCGAGGCGGCGGCTCAGACCGGGGCGGAAGCCGAGCTGAGCAGTATCTTGAAAAGGGCACCAGGTAAGAAGATTGCTTGCATGGCATGCTTCCGCGGGGCCCTTGCGGGAGCCTGGCGGCGGGTTCACGGGTTCTAACCGAGCCGCTAGTCGTCATCTTCTCCAAGACGTATTGTCCCTATTCCAAGATAGCCAAGGGCATCCTCCTGGACAAGTACCACGTCGACCCGGCGCCGTTTGTCGTCGAACTCGACAACCACGCCCAGGGCCCGTCCTTGCAGGACGCGCTGCTCCAAATGACTGGTCGCAGGACGGTGCCCAACGTCCTCGTAAATGGCGTCAGCATCGGCGGCAGCGACGACGTTGTCGAGCTCGACAGGCAGAGCAAGCTGGCTGACAAGATCAGGAAGCTCGGCAACGAGCGCGTCCATGTTTCAGAACGGTTCGCACCGGCCGAGGGCAAGTTGTAAATATGTGGCCGTTTTTCTTGCACAGCTTTCTACCTGTTCGCCTCGAGCTTGTTCCAGTATCATTCATGTCCATGGGAGTGGTCGGGAGGCGGAGCAAACAGGGGTGGTTTGTGTTGCTTGTCCCCGCGCCCACGTTCTGGTGTAACTTTACCCCGGGTGATGGCTGCATTGGGTACATGGAGTTTTCGGCGCCTGCACAAAATATCAACTGAAACCTTGTCTTTTCTTCCTTCTTTCTTCTTTATTTCGTGGAGCAAGGGGAGGGGGGTTCGGTGCGAGACTTGGCGCGGACAGTGCGGGAAATTGCATTTTCAAGACGTCTTCGGACAGTTGGGGGAAAAAGAAAGAACTCAATCAACAGTACGCCTATTCCGGCTCTTAATCACAAAGGGTTTCTGCATGGGCGTTTACCCGCCTGGGGTCGTTGGACCAGGCACGGGATAGTATGTGTTGTGAAAACCAACAAATCTGCCGGGGAGCCCAGCTGCGGCAGGTTATCGCGTTGCAAGATGCAAGAGGCGATTCGACGCCACGCCTGCGCGTATTCAACTGCATGTGCTCCGTACAATGGGCGGCGGTCTGCGTCTTCAAGCCACGCACGCTAGCTACGCGCGCTGCCGTCTTCTTCATCAGCTCGAGCAGACCTCTTCTCACCCCTGGCTTTCTGGCCGCGCGCGTGGCGCTCCAACCTCGCGCCCATTGGGAACGGTGTTGGAAGGGAGGTGCGCCGCGGTGCTGCGATGTCATGTTGGTTCGCCTGTTGGGATCACGAGCCACGGCCGGGCAAAGTCAGGGCGTCGCTTACTCTACGACCGCCTCTTTTCTCCGCCTGCGTCTCTCTCTGTCGCGCTCTCTCTCTACATCTTGGTTCTCGTCTCCCCGCTGCATCCGTCACTCGCTCCCTCATCTCTTCGTCACAGCACGCATTATTGTGGGAGACGATTGACGGCCGGTACGGGTCAGGGACGAGCCACGAGTCCACGACCCCGTTGGCTTGAGCGTTGCCCGTTCCTTTTTTTCCCCTTCTTCCGTCCCCCTTTTGTCGTGCAGCACACCGTCTGCCCGCTCTTGGCCCTCCCTCAAAAGACTTGCAAACTACTCAAATGTTACGGGCTGCTACTGCGCGCGTTACGGTCGCAATGCGGCGCCAGTCCACCGGCCACGCCAACTCGGACGCATCGTCCGCCTGTTCTGTGTCTACCACGGCCTCGTATGCCAAGGAGGCTCTCCTGGACAATGGCGTCGGGCCACGCCGTGGTTTGCGTCAGAAGGCGAGGGACGTGGTGTCCGACCTGGGCAAGCCGCCTACTTGGCGGCAGGACGCCAAGGATGGGAAACACACGTCGAGTTTCGGGGATCCGGGGTTCTTGACGGAGCTCTCTAGGCCCCCCAAGTTCTGAGCGGATCGAGAAAGATCGGGAGACGTCGGGGCTGGTGGCCCCGTGAGGGCGTGGAGCGGGACGGGAACAAGGGAAACAGTTTGAATCTGCGGCGGCGAATGATTCAAGTCTCGGTTCTTTGAGCCGGTTGGTTTCGTGGACTGCTACGACGGGTCTGCCGGGTATGGTTTGGGTTGGACGTCGATCTGGGCGGATTCGATGGCTTTGGATGAGTAGTTTCGCGCTGGTGAATGTTCCCGAGCAGCTGAGTGCTGGCGTTGGTGGTCTTACTCGGGCACAACGCGTGGCATGTTGCAAGTTACCTGGACTTCTATGGATGTCGTTTCCTAGATGTCAATCATGCGTTTGGTGACTGGACCGGGTCTCATGACGGGAGGACGTTTGCGTGCGTCTTCATGATCTGAGCACGCACACTCGTCGACCTCGGAGCAACATCGGCATGGTGTCCGTTAGCCTGGGACTCCGGCGAGAACCGGCTTCCGGAGTCGGCTCGCCGGACAAGGTACCAGCGGTGGATGCGAATGGCAATAGCAACCCGTTGACGGGCGTCGAGTTTCGGAATGTCGAGCGCCATGCCCTGCCCTGCCAGCCACAGCTACTACCGACTACTCGAGTTCTCAAGTACCTAGGTAGGTACCTACTTAAAGTAGCTGCCGATGTGGAGGTACCTGCCCGCGTACCTACCGCCCAGGGGCACGTACCTACCCAAGCAAGTAACTTATGACTTCAAGTAGTTGGGTAATTGCCGCGGCGGGCCTCGGTAGCACCTGCCTCGGTAGCCGCGCTTTGGCCCGTTCAGCTTCCCAAAGTTTGTTTCCACCAACAATTTGAAGCATTCAAGGTTGTCATGGTTCCTGGGGGGCCTCGGTATCGACTCGGGAACCTACCACCAACTTTGGTATGCCGTAAGCCTACCTGGCCAGGTACTTGGTACGCATGCTGCTACCACGAACACGAACGGAGGACGGAGCATTGGCCCATCCGAAGCCCCGAGCAATCAGCCAAGATGGCTTCGTCCACCAGGGTGGTCGTTCCCCATAACTGTCCAACAAAACACGCAACCTCACAACTTTCCGCTAATCACAAGCATGGGGTCTGGCCACGGCATTAGTGGGCGAGGCCCTTGCCTGCACACGACGTTTGCCTTTGCTCCACCGACACGATGATTGAGGCTCGGATCTTTTATAGAGCCTTTCCCTCCCTTCAGCTGCGTTGCCTTCTTCCCCCATGGCCGTCGCTTGGTGAAAGTGTCTCTGCTTCGAGGAGAGAGCTTTGGCAAGGACCGACCTGCACCCCAGCAACGTGCTGCTCCCCTTGTCCCGGCCTTGAGCGTCCTTCATCAGCCCGCCCTGTCTCTTCAACATGACTGGGTCTGCTGCCGGGCCCCTGGCGCGGAGGCTGGACCAGCCACCTCCTCCGGGGAAGCCTCATGGAGTTGCGGTTCCCGGGACCGAAAGACCGGGAAGGACCCCGATTTATAGACACTGGCAAGTAAAAGACAAGCCTTTGGTGAGCACGCTGGATCCCAACACGCGAACCATACACGAGCTCTTGGAGGAGTCAGTCCGACGGTATCCCAACAGTAACTGCATGGGTGTCCGCAAGTGGCTGCCAGAGACGCAGTCATGGGACAGTGGCTATTCGTGGCTTTCCTACGGCGAGGTGGCCGAACGACGCAAAAACTTTGGAGCCGGCCTCGTGGAGCTTCACCGTCGCATCAACCACCCTCGAGACAAGTACGGCATTGGGATTTGGGCCCAGAACAGACCGGAGTGGCAAATAGCCGGTACGTCCACGCAAGTCGAACGGAAATCTTGCCGAGTCCAAATGTATCGCTGACAGCTGGATGCTGCTGACGTGATAGACTTTGCCTGCATGTCGCAAGGGCTCTTTTCGGTATCCCTTTACGAAACCTTGGGTCCAGACACCACCGAATACATCATCAACCATGCCGAGCTTGCTTGTGTGGTCTGCTCCCTCCCGCACGTCCCAACACTGCTCAAGCTTGCGCCTCGCCTTCCTTCTCTCAAGCTAGTCATATGCATCGACGACCTTGACAAGGGAGAAATGGCGGGCTACTCGACAAAAGATGTCCTCAACGCAATCGCAACAGACCGTCTCGGCATTCAGATCTTGTCCATGAGCGAGGTTGAAAAGCTTGGTCTCGAGTCCGGTCGTCCCATGCGTCCTGCTGGCCCTGACGACCTCTACACCATCAACTATACTTCTGGCACAACTGGCCCTCCAAAGGGGGTCCTCCTTACCCACGCCGCAATGGTGGCTGGCAACGCTGCCTCTCGCATTCCCGCAAAACTCTCGAGTGACGATGTCGCGATATCGTACCTCCCATTGGCTCATATCTTGGAAAGAGTGCTTCAGCATGGTACTATTTCCGAAGGCGCTAGTTGTGGCTTCTTCCGAGGAGACATTCTAGGGCTGGTAGACGACATGCTTGTCCTCCAGCCCACCGCCTTTGTATCTGTGCCTCGTCTATTCAACCGTTTCAACACTGCCATTAGAGCTGCGACAGTCGAAGCAGAGGGATTCAGGGGCACCCTATCTAAACGAATCCTTGACACAAAAATGGCTTCCATGAAGCTCCCCATGGGTCAAGCCACCGTTCAGCATTGGCTGTGGGATCGCGTCTTCACACCAAAGGTCAGGGCCAAAGTCGGCCTTGGCCGGGCAACCCGGCTTGCCAGCGGCAGCGCGCCGCTCGACCCCAAAGTTCAGGAGTTTCTTTCAGCCATGTTTGGAGTGAGGCTCACCCAGGGCTACGGCATGACGGAAACTTCGGGCCTCGTAACGGTGCCTCTGGCTGGAGACTTGGACACTGGTCACATCGGTCCTCCCAGCCCGGCTGCTGAGATTTGCTTGGAGTCGATTCCCGAATTACAGTATACTGTTGACGACAAGCCGTACCCCCGTGGAGAGATCTTGGTGCGCGGCCCGGTCTTATTCAAAGGGTACTACAAGAATGAGCAAGAGAATAAAAAAGTCATGGAAGAAGACGGATGGTTTCACACGGGCGACGTCGCAATGGTTGATGAGCTAGGCCGCTTCACGATTATCGATCGGAAGAAGAACGTACTCAAGCTCGCACAGGGTGAGTACGTGGCGCCCGAACGTCTTGAAAATGTTTACACTGCGAATTGCGCGCTCATCGCCACTGCCTTTGTGCATGGTGATAGCCAAGAGTCCACTTTGGTTGGCATTTTTGGCATCAGCCCCGAGACGTTTGCGCCGTTTGCGTCCAAAGTGCTCGGCCAGTCGGTCAAGCAAGAGGACATTGCCTCGTTGAAGCGTGTGGCCCGCGACCCAAAGGTGCAGAGGGAGTTCTTGAGCACTCTGCAGACGATTGGAAAGAGGAACAAGTTCAACAAGTACGAACACGTTGCGAACGTTTTCCTCGACGTCGAGCCGTTTACTGTTGAAAATGAACTCTTGACACCCACGTAAGTAGCGTAGCGTCTTGCACTCGAGACTGCCGCAACTGACTCGCTCGATCCGCTGACGATGCTCTCTCTGCAGGTTAAAACTAAAGAGAGCGCAAGCGGCTCGGGCATTTCGAGGAGAGATTGACCGCATGTATTCTGAAATCAACAAAACGCAGACGGCAAAGGGCAAGTTGTAAAGAGGCCCGTGCAATTCGTCGTGTAATTTACAGTCAGAATCGAGCCCAAGATGCCACGCGTCGACAGACACAATGGGCCGCTTCCCTTGCGGCCGATGCGCATCTGAGGCGCTCCTTCTACTTGCCTACCTGTGCATGGGACATTGGAATTGTTATTGTTTCTCCCGTCTCCAAGAAATCTTTTGCCGTCGTCCATCTTTCCCCTTCCCCACACGCACCTCACCATCCGACATCGAATAGCATTACCGTCATCCGTACCAAAATGCAGTCCTGGCGTTATCACCTCTACTACTGGGTTGCGTCGGTCGTTTCGGTCCTTGCCTACCGTGTCTCTGCCTGGACTGATGGCTGGGACCTGCAACCGGCCCAGGTCTGCTTTGCCGCTCTCTCTTGCATCTCGTTCATGCTTTACTTTGTCCTCCGACTCTACGGCCCGCTCCGCAACATTCACTACCAACTCTTTGCCGCAACGTACATTCTCGGATTGGTGGTGTTGCCACACCACTGCATCGTGTCGATGTCGAAATTTGCCCTGAGGACACTCCTCGTCCGCGCATTCTACCGCATCGCCGTCGGCCCCATGTGCTATCGCGGATACTCGAGGATTCGCCATTTTGTGCTCGCGGCGACGTTGATGATTGCGCTGGGGGCAATGCCGCATCCCTTTTCCGCGCCGGTTGCGAACCCGTGGTTCATTGACGCCGCCGTCCATGCTCTCTTTGCCTTTGCCGCTATTGGAGCTCTCGAGAGTGTCAGACAAAATGTAGGGCATGATCCTCACCCGCCGCAAAGAAGAGCAGCGTGTGCTGACATCGCTGACGAAGCGTCAAGACATTGAGCCCTGCCACTTCTTCGGCTTCTTCTTCGGTCCCCGTGTCTGCATTCGACAGCCAGCGTGGAGCTGCGGCTAGGGGATCCGTCGTCTGTACTGTATGCTTGTGGGATCCGCCTTCCTCGAGATGGTTGTCAGGTTCCTCGACTGTTGGCTGGGCTACATTTACGGACCTCATGTGTCGTGCCGGTCCATTTGGATGTCTCCGCTGGACAATCAAAAGGTTTCATGTTGTGCAGTGGCCATGATGTCGCTTGTTGGCGGTGGAGTAATCGACATGGCGGAGACGGTATGCTCATGCTTCATTCGTGTCCGCCAAGTGTTTGCTAATATTTGTGGCAGGTCTTCTTCATCATTCACAGTCTCATAGTCCCGGATTGGATGCCATCTCGAGCGGCAATGACGGACCGGACACGCTGCTGGTGGCCGATGCGAGGCGAAGTCGTGAGTGCACTTGTGAACGGGGTGGTCGTCAGTTGGTTTGTAGGCATGGAGGCTGAGCGAGCATGTAGCCTGGCGTTGCAATAGAACCGAGCGTTGGCCTTGTCCGTGTTGAATTGTCACTGGGCAGTGTATTGTCCACAGCATTGGTAAACAACACGTAGCGTATAATGCAATTTGACAAGGTCCGGAGAATATAAACCGTTTCGATATGTGAATCGTGGCGGAAGGCCAAAAGAGGTTCAGTTTGACCAGAGCCAGCATCTGGCCAACTATCGGATACCCTGTTATCACATGGCGGACAGCAGTACGACGGTACATACTTGACAAGGGCAATCAATATATGATGCCACACTATCGGGGGGATCGGCTGAGCTGGCAAATTGTCACGATGGATGGCATCAAGAGTGGGCGCGACGGGGGAGAGATTGGTCTGGGGAGTGCCTGCTGACACGGCTCAGGCAGCGGGTGAGTGAGTGCAAGAGAGCTTGATACTGTGATATCGTGGCATGGTCTAAACGCAGACATGGCCTGGGGACTTTGCGTGACGGCGTCAACATCACTTGTTGCCCCTCCAGTCCTGTCCGAGTGCTCTGCTTTCAAGGCGCACGTCCCGGAATGACTGGTATGGCACCGTCACCATTCATAAAATGCGCCATGGCATCAGTACCAACTTGTCTGGCGCAACCAATTAGCCCACAAATGACCTCGATTTCGTGCTCAAGGTCGAAGCGTGTACTCACGTGGTGAGCATAAGCCTCGTAAACTCGTCGCAGTCATCCGGTCGAGCATACATCCAGAAATCCTTAAATCCCATGTTGTGGATGAGAAACTGCGGCTTTTCCCGCCACGCGCGGTAGAACTCGACCGAGTTGGGCGCGTCCCAGAGGTGGCGCGAGGCGGTGAAATTAAAATCGTCACACCACATGTCATCGTCGGCTACGGGTGCTGTCAGCGTGTTGAGTGAGCAAGACTGTTTAGTGTAACATGAGAACACTGACGAGTTTCCGACTTGAGCATGCACGAAATGCATACAAAGGCGTACGAGGTTATCAATGTGCGGCGGCAGCTCTCCAAGAATGTCCAGCTCTAACACAGGCGGTCAGTAAAGAAATGCGTCGAGTAGTGACAAACAAATCGCCTCTCCGGCCAAGCATACCTCCCAGGACTTTGGTGGCTTCTCTCGCACAAATGCGTTTGCTCCACCGTGGGTCTCGTCCGTCTCCAGATTCTTCCTGATGCTGTTCAACTCCTTCAGCCACGACATCAGAACGGGGACTTCCCTCTCGGCGGCGGCCCGCAACCCCAGATCGCCGTCAAAGATTCTCATCGAGTTCAAAATCAGCAGAGCCTGTACGCGCGACAGCTTATCCTCACTGGAGACGGCACGCTCGCCCTCGCGGTGGATCTCTCGTCCTACATCAACCAGTAGACGAACAGTCCATCCCTTGTTCGACGAAGTGCACGCCGCATATGCCGATGAGGCTGAAAACGCGGCAAGAATAACTTTGGGCAGTTGACCGACCCAGAGACGCGGATGCATAAAGGGCAAGGCTCTCGTCTGCGCAAAAGTGCTGTGCATACTTGTCAGGAAGCGCACCGTGTAACCTATTCGGGTGCTGGGGTCATGAACAGAAAGCGGATCAATCTCCATGCAGACAGTGTCGACGTCCTTGATGAGAGACAGGTCACGGATAGGCTGGCGCTGTTGCAAGTCCTGATGAAGCACGGGGAAAGGTGCTATGGTGCTGTGACCGGAAGGCACAGGCGGGACGTGCAGCTTATCCGTCGTCGTCTCCGCAAAGGAATGCAGGTTCCAAATGTCGTCTTCACGCCCGGCAGTCTGGGCCATCAAGTCCACAATAGAAAAGTCAAGTCCTCCGGAGCCATAAGCAGAAGCGCCCAGAGGGACGCCAGCATCGGCTTGAAGGTTCTCGGGACTGGTGTCGGTGCCCAGGCTGTCCATGTCAAAGCTCATATCAAAGTCGGGCACGTCTGAGACGCCAGAGGCGGTGCTGGCAGCAGAAGATGAGGAGACGGCAGGAACTCCAGCACAAGTAGGGACAGAAGCGGTGCCCGCGGTGCCTGCGGTGCCTGCGGAGATGGGACGTGAGCTTGGCACGGAGCCCGGCGGCCTTGCGGACTCTGTGGCGGAAGAGGAAGGGCAAGGGAGTGGTGAGACCGGCCGAGGGGGGCAATTTCTAGTAGACGCAGCACAGTCCCTTGGCAGAGCAACGGCTGCACCGGGGAGTACGCTTGTCGCAGCGTCTCTTGCCTCTCACGCAGGCATTGCAACTCTTTTGGCGCGATGCAGCAGATGCCTTGTCGTCGAGTCGTGTGCCGTCTGTCGTGATGGTGACGGAACTGTCATCAAGGCTGGGCCTCCCGAGCGTCGCTGTAAACGAAGAGCCCATGGCGGCGGCAGCGTCGGTGTCGTCCACGTCCTTCCATGACCGTTTGATGCCGTTCATGACGATGAAGATGAAAGTGGCCAAAAAGTTGGGAGTGAAACAAAGGCCGTGGTCCCACCTTGTCAGGCCGTCGGACGGCTCGAGTATTCCAAACTCGGAAGGCGTCGTGCACCGTACTTTCCAGAAGGGCAGAGAGTTGAATCAGAGGGGTTCTCAATAGCTTTTCCTCCCCCTCGGCCTTGCCGAGAAAAAAAGGACATGAAAAATTAAAATTAAAAAAAAAAAAAAAAAAGAACAGAAAACAGAAAACAGAAAAGGGAAAAAGGGAGAAGGGAAAAAAAAAAAGGGAAAAAAAAAACTAAGCACTTCTCAATGCCGTCAGTCTCGGGAACAATTTCTTCCCAGGAAAACATACGGAAAATCGTCCCTATCCACATTCTCTTCCCAGGAATGCGGAAAGAAATCGCATCAAAGTCCGCACCGAGTCCCCACAGCCAGGTCACGCACCACGCGTTGACGTGACGGGCAAACGGGGTCCGCGTCGGGGCCGAAAGAAACTCCGCACCAAATCCGCTGTCCGCCAAACAGCTGCGGCATTCGGCTCCAATCTGATTGCGAGGACTTCGGTACTTTAGATGTCTATCACTAACTACCTAGGTTCCTAAGTACCTACTTACTTAAGGTAAGTACCTAGGTTAAGTACCTAGGTAATATCGTACAGAGGACTTCAGCAGCCATCATTGATCACTATAATCAACGCTCTCCTCGGTCCGTCATCGCAAGCAATCTGGCAAAGCTAATCACTCCTACGCCTTCAATGACACGCACGCAAGGGGCACATTCCGCATGGCAACCTATCAGGTCAGTCAATTAGCCCTTGATATGGCCCATACTATCTCACAGCCGACGCCTGCTCCTGGATTTTGAACCTCGTCCGGATCCTTGCCCCTCCCGACCAAATCCAAACACAGATATTTCGCAAAAATTGGGCCTTCTAAAACTGGCCCTTTTCCTCCCGTCTTCATCTCCTCCCGAATCTAGTTTCCTCTAGCAATTGGGTATATACAGTCACCCTAGACTCTGCGATATCAGGACCTGTCTGTCTCCTCCCTGGTCCCCGTTGGCCTCGTCTCTGCTCGTCACTCACATACGCTCCGAAACGAGAACAACAATTTCAAATCCCTCCTGGGCTGCAACGCTGACATTGTGCCACTTGATTATGCACTTTTGCATGCAAAGGTCCCTTCCCTCGCCAAATGGACGCTTCGGCCCACCTTTCGTGCATGTGAGCAACCCGGCGACACTTTTGTGTATGCAGCGACGTTGCAACTATCATGCTGCCAAGCTGCCTAGTGGATTTGGCGCACGTTGGTAGTTTCATGTCGACGGAAAATAAGAGCAACCGGAAAGTTGAAGAAGAAGAAAAAAAAAAGCGGCGGAGGAGACAAAAAGAATTATGAAAACCCCCTTGACAGAATCGCAAGGGAACACGCAAACTTCCGACCAACCCAAGTCGGCCGCCCACCTGCAGTAGTTGTACAAATGCCCGCCAGGCCAAAACTCAAAGAAAAGTACTTTATCAGATCGATAGGGTGCAGGGGGAAAAAACTATCTAGTAAGACAAGACAAAGCCCTACTAGTTCAGAGACGTCACAAGAGAGGTGCAACGATAGAACTGTACACCGCTGATAGCTGGTGGCGGATGCTGTGTGGACCTCATCCTTTCCGCCTGTCGTGAAATCATGTAATTTGCCCAGGAGCAAATGGTGGATAGCAGAGAGAAAAAGAAAAAGAAAATTATCGGAGGAAGCCGTTCCGTAATAAAAGCTATTGTTGCATGGTTGTGTTGACTTCGGGCAAGGTGTGAGGGCTTGACCTTGCTAGTATCTTTCCTGTCGGTAGCCATTGACTCGAGGGGCGTCATACTGGACTCCAGTCATGGATTCTGGTCCGGCGTGGATGGAGCGCAAAGGCGGCAACTCGGTTCTGTTGGTATTGGCGTAAATGTCGCTGCCGTACGAGGCTGGCGGCTGCTGCGAGCTCTGTGAGGATGGTGCAGGTCGCGCTTGCTGGGGAGGATTCCCGGGGGAGCCAACCTCTCCTCGTAACTGAGCAGCCTCCATGCGCGCGGTTTCCAGCTCACGGTGCAGCACTTCAATCTCTGAGGCGGCGTTGTTGTAGTAGGATTGGAGGGTGCGGATGAGTTCGGCTTGACGCTGGTGTTCGCCAATGGCTAAAATAAGGGGTCAGAAGAGCTATACAACAATAGGACACAGCTAAAAGAGTGATAGGCCCACCCTTTGTCAAGATTTCCCATTTTGATGCCTTTGATCCTCGCTCCTGGGGCATCAAATCTCTCAATTGATCAAAGAGTTCCTTCATTTCGGTTCGTCGCTTGCGCTCCGCCAGCTTGTGGCTGACCCTCAACTCGGGAGTCCGGCTGTAGGGTTGCGATCCGGGAGGGCCGCTGCCTTCCTCGGCTTGCAAATCGCTCAGCTGCTTGTGTTGCATCGTGTGATGATGCACCGGGGGAAACTCGTTGGGCGCGGTCGACATGCGAGCATAATCAGCTCCATCCTCTAGTCTTCGCTGACCAGGAGGCAATCGCGACTCGGTGGTGAATTGGCTGCTGGCCATGGACGTGATGCTGCTGCGCCGAGATTCATCGTAGTGAGCGGGTGGTCCAACGCGCTGAATCTCTTCCTCGGGGAAAGCCCAGGCTTGACCTTTGGTGGGTTCGGCAGCTCGGGCAATATGACTAGTCGCAGGCCCAGTAATCGCAGGTGCAGTTTTGATGACTTTGGGCTCACCGGGGTTTCGGTCGGCGCTTGGCTGGTAGCCGTTGGAAATTCTGTGTACTGATAGGGACTCTAGACCAGGTCGAGGATTCCGCTGGGAGTGAAGCGTGTTTTGGATGGAACTCGTGCTTTGGTTGTTACTGGCATAAGGAGACGACCCCAAGCGCATGTCACTAATGCCTTGGTTGATCCTGCTATCGACACTCTCGCGCCTAGGACCGCAAGCAACACCAAGGTTCTCACCAAAGGCGGCTCCATTCTGTCCTTGGGATTCAATGGAGGTCGGTCGGTCGAATCTCCGGTCGCTTGTCGGCGACGTGGGCGAAACCATGGAGGCAACGCTCATGTTGCTTGCTGAGGGCGACACGAGCGCTTGGGGTACCAAATTAGTAGCGACGGGAGAAGGAGTCTTGTCTGTAAGTGACGATTGGTACCCGGATCCTGCCGGGCTAAGGCCATTCACAGTAAAGGAGGCAGCGGACGTGTCTAAAAAGTCAAAAGCGTGTTAGCCTACCAACTGGAAGAGAAATCGTTGACGCATAGATCCTGGCGGACCGAAGCCAACACTGACAAAACAGGTTTAACGAGCATTGAGACGGGAATAACTTACGCTTGCTAGAAGCCTCGGCAGTTGAATAGAAGCCAGAGTCCCGTAGCTGCAGCGGAGGACCGTTGGGTGAAGGCCGGTCATCGTTGTTGAGAATGTTGTTCAGCCCTGCGGCTTTGTGAGGCGCAACGGGCGGATGACTTTGCGTCTCCATGGCTGACATGATGCTGACTTTGTACATCTATTGGTGATTTCAAATCACTTATTGTCCACCCTTTTTTGCCTTTTTCCAGTTTTCCTGAGACTTGTTCACCGGCTGAATGGGTCCCTTGACTGTCGCTCGTAGGAAACCGCTCTAACGGCAAAATGTTTCGAAACAGCTGAGAGGAGCGATGAGGTCGCGATACAGCTGTGTGAGAGCGGCGGTGTGTACAAAGGTTTTTTGACGAGTCGCCGCTTTCAAATGACGCTTCCAAACAAGTATGGCCCGCGGGCAAAACGGTGAGTGCGACGGGTTCGCTGAGGGCTGAATTGGCACAGGCTGGGGCGTGTGACTGCGAGGGACGCCACTAGCAGGAGTAACGCATCAAGGATCTCTTGAGCCGTCGGTCAGGCAAGTTGTGTGTATCGAGGCGACAGGTCCCGGAGGAGAGCCGGGCCGTTGCTTGGAATGTAGAGGAATGGACTTTTGAGGGTTGACGCTATGTGCGCTGTCGGGAGACGGTACGCGCAAAGCAACTTGAGCTTCGCAGCGACGTTGGAGTTGAGTGGCAGAATCGAGATACACAGCAGTGCATCGCCCACCAAGATGGGTTTCGGTTGCAGTTGCGAGATGATAAAATCAAAACGAGTGCTCGGGAGAGCCTGAGCGAGAAGCTTCCAAGGTCAAAGGGGACGAAGAGGCGAGGAAAAGAGAGTGTGTGAAGGATCGGGACGAAGGAAGAGGAAGTCGAGTCGACGAGAATGGCAAATGGGCGAGGGTCAAGGTGGAGGAAGAGTGAGTGGGCTGGGGAGGGTGATGTTGCTGGCTGGGGCCGATATTATGAGTTACCTCCTCAGGCGAGTTACAGGCCTTTGGCCAGGGTGGAGGGGCCTAACTGGGCGCTGTCTGGTGGTCGCCTTGGTGGCCCATCTGGAGAACTGGTGTCTGGTCTGGTGCGTGCGTACGAAGTACGTACCCAAGTCAAGTACGTTACGTACGTGCATGTACCGGCATCATGGCGTCCGGTACGTACAGGGGCCAGTTGACGGGAAGAGGGACAGGGGATGAGGGCCAGAAGCGACGAGGGTATAGCGTGGCACAAATTGCCACAAAGTTCTCCGTGCTCCGTGCACGCCGGAGTATACTCGTACTCCGTACGTACCCAGGTGCTTGTCCAGTACCGGCTGCTTGACACAGCACCCCGGTAGATCAATTTGTCCCATGCGTACGGAGTACCACTAACTACTACTAATACTAAATGCAATGCAGAGCGACTGGGTGCCGGGTCTGGTCGATCGAAGTTTCAAGGCACGAGGTCCCTATTTGTAAGATCCCTAAAGCCGGGCTAAGCCAGGCTGAGCAACGAAATGAATGACCCCAAGCGCTGTCGCATGTACTCCGCACGTCGTCGTCGTCGTTGTCGTCGTCGTCGCAGGCACCTGCCCGCGAAGATGCCTTAAGTACGTGAGTAGGTACTTAAGTGCCCGTGTGCCCGTGCGGATCAACCGGTCGTGGGCAACCGTCGACAGGTCAACAAACTAAACTGGTTCCGCTGACCAGCTGCTGATATCCGTGCATGGCGCCCGGCGGCGGGCGCTCAGTTCTGCTTCTGGCCTTAAAAGTCCCGGGCTATTGTTCAGTCTCTGAGCCTGCAGCCCCCGAATCTTCTGCACCAGAGGCTGTGCACTGTCGCACCGCCTTTGGCGCTGCTTGCCTGCCCTGCCCTGCTGAAGAGAACCGCTGAACGTTGAAGGTACAGAAGTAGTACTCGCGTGCTTGCATGTACGGCAGGCCACAGCAGTCCATGCAGCAGCCCTGTGCACACACAGTACGGAGTATTCTACGTACGTCAAGTACTTACTCGAACACCTGATTTGCCGCTTCCCTGGCGGGTCCAAGGTACCGGGGACGTGGCCAGACATTTGACAAATGCACCACCTCCACCACCGGATACTCTAGCTCCGTGCTTCTCCTGCAGAAAGTACCTAGGTACGGAGTACCGGGCGCATGTGCTCTCCTACCCTTGAGCCTGCTACTGCAGTGCACCCGGAGCCCCGGGGGGTGGGGGTGGAGAGGACGGGGAGTGGACATCCATCAAAATTCTTGATGGATGGGGATTAGCGGGAGCGCCACGCCACGAGTGCCAGTCTGGGCCAGTCAGCGCCGCGTTGCAGTTGAATGCTGCGTGCTGCGTGCTGCGTGCTGCATGGTCCACGTTGACATGTCATCGAATGGACCAGACGCTTGAGGCTTGGGGCTTGAGGCTTGAGGCTTGGCGCTTCGCGCTTCGCGGGCTAGATTGATGGCTGCTGACGCCGACGCCTGGTCCCTCGTGGCCTGCGCTCGTGGGCTGGGCTGGGCACTGGCATGCACATGGGCATGCCGTGCCGAGCAGCTTATTTCCTGGACGCCGTACTCCGTACTCCTCACTCGCGTACCTGCCCTCTTCCCTCTCCCCCCTCAGCACGACTCGATCACCCAACCTCGCGCTTGCGTTTTAGAAGGCTCAGTAGAGCCCGCATAATACTTACTTGGCTCCAGTACCATACCCAAGTAAGTACGGATACCGCAACGTCTGCGTCTGCGTCTGCGTCTGCGTCTGCGTCTGCTTCTGCGTCCGCGTCAATATCGTTATCTGGTCCCCATTATGGAGTACCACTTCCGGCACGTTGGACCTGTGTCCGCCACCGACTGCTCGTCCCCGACCAGCCAGTGACCTACGGAGTAGGTTCCCATGGTATTATGTATTGTGTATGTACGTAGTATGTATGTAAGCATGACGAGGAATATCATGTCCGACGCTGCCCAACACCCTTACTTGGATGGCAACCCCCCACTGTACGTATTTTGTACTCCGTACAGCCAGCCGCCTTGTCTCTCAGTCATCCCAGTCGAGCCGAGTACATGGGCACGAATCGGCCAGATACTCGAGTAATGCGCATGTTTCTCGCCATAGTATTGATGTTGCCTGTCGCGGCTATCGAACTGGCCCTCAATTGCCAATCCTGTGCCTGCATGGAGCAAGGAGCAAGGAGCAGGGAGCAGGGAGCAGGGAGTAGGGAGCAGAGAGCAGAGAGCTCTGGAACAATAGAACCCAGCAAGCTACTTAAGTAGGAGTACAAGTGCAAGTGCTGCGAGACCGACTGACCGCACCCCCGTCGCTGACCATGCTGCAGGCCGTAGCATGAGTACGGAAACACCCCTTCTTGTTCTGATTAAACCCCCCTCCCCCCTCCCCACATCAGCATTACTCCGTAGTTGCTTTGAAGCACGTTGAACAAAAATGCGCAGTGCCTTACCAAGAGAAGAAGAAAAAAAGCATTTTTCCCTGGCTGGGCTACGCGGAGAGAGGAACAAGGCCTGTTCGAGTTGTAAATTTCGCTGGCGGTGGCGTGTCGCTTCAGTCCCAGCATGGCAAACTAGCAATGTTGGTACAGAATGCAACAAGCTCGAGGTGGCGGCGCCAATGCGAACGTGGGCAGGAATAGAGAGTATCGATGACAATCGGAAACGGCGCCAGCGGCCACTACACATGCGGGCAGCATGCCCTTGTTAAAGCTCTCCACCCAGCCCTCGTTAATCTTCAGAGGATGTGTGACGGAAAGGGCTGCGGCGTCGATGACAATCAAATGTTCTGCCCAACAACCCAGTTCAAGGACCTACCGAGGGAGATGGGAAATTGGACACGGCGATGGCGAAAGCCAGGCTCCCAGATCAATCTTCGAAGTTCGGCCAGCTGGTCTGTGCAATCGGGAGCCACTGTTGCAGAAACAGGCGCCACTCAGCGAGGTCGTGCCGACGATTGGACGGAGAAATACATAGTCCGTACGGAGTACAGGGGCTGACGATTCATAGATGCGGTTGAAAGGGCGAGAAAAGAAATGTTAGTACGGGGTACTGTAGTGGTGGTCAGTACTCCGTAGTCAGTCGTCAGTAGTCATGAAGTACACAGTACCCAGAGCCTCATCGGAGCGGCAGCACTGTTCTCTGTGAAAATGCGCGGCTTACGGGTTGAAGTCCATGGCCGGAGAACCCCCTTGGTCCTTGGGAAGAAAAAGGGCACACCTCCTAGCTGTGCGCGGTGGCGCTCTCCCTAGTCGTCTCGTACGAGACAAGAGACAGCCACGATTCGGATGGAGATCTCGCGCTAGGCTCACTCCGTAGTTGCTCCGAACTGGCACTAGTTCGGAGTACTACGTACTAGTATTCGCCAGTCTGGGGCCCCGTGCTCGTCACCAGGAAGGAGCCTGCAGACGAGGCTCCGGCGTGGGGCTGGAAGCATGGCAACGAACAAGGCTAGGGGACAGGGATAGTCGACAAGCTTCTGGCTGGCTGGGCCGCAGTCCTCCCGAGATGGCGCTGTTTCCGGCAACTGCGAAGCATGAGTGGCCGCTGACGTTGTACCAGAGACATATTAGGGGCAAGGCCAAAGGGCTGGTTGATGCTTCAGTGGAGTGCTGGCTTGGGTCCCTAACTGGACGGTCAATCAAGGACAAGAGTTCAGTCTTTTGGTCCAGTTGTCCACGTTACCTTGGGTAAGTAAGTAGGTAGGTAGTACTTGAAGTAGTCGGGTAGATGCCAGGTCGTCTTGCTCGTGCCTAGGTAGGTCATCAGTTAGCAAACATGAATTGTACAGGACGCGTCCAAAGTCCTTTCTCCAATCCTGACGATGATTCCCACTCCCAGATGATGCAGTATTACTACTATCCTATCGTCAAGGGACACCCAAGATGTGAATTATCTTGGTGGGGATGTTATGCGATTGAAGAACCCAAATCCTGGGTGCGCAACAACCGAGGGCGGAGGAGAGTCATGACAATTAACTTGTGATGAACCAGAATAAAGTCCGATTGTATACTCGCTGTTTCCGTCTCTCGCAGGACGGACCGCTCGACGGCACCTTTTACTCACTTTGAACTTTGTGTTGTACGCAGCCTCCTCGCTTCATCTTGTTGCGCGTATAAGAGTGCATACGAAACTCTGGTTTTCCGTGTTATCGCAGTGACATTTCATAAATGTGA